AGCATTACATATATGAAGTAGCAACGAAAATAATTTTATGGTTGGGTCACAACATGAGGAACTGTATTTAAAGGGCCAGAAGGTTGAGAACCACTGCACTAAATTCATGCAAGGGGCTTGGCCCTCACACCCCGGCCAGGCCTCACAGCCCCTCGCAGCCCCAGACAGCCCACGCAGCCCCTCCCTGCCTCAGCTGGCCCTTGCAGCACTGGCTTAGTCCCAGAGGGTTGTCTGGACTGTTGTTCTGCTGTTTGGACTAATTAGCATATTAGCTCTTTATTATATAGGATAGTATTCTATTGTGTGAATGTACCACAGTTCTTTAATACACTCATCTGCTGATGGTACTGAGGCTGTTTCCAAATCTTAGCTATTGTAAATTTTGCTGCTATGAACATAGGGGTGCATATATCCTTTCTGATTTGTGTCTCTGGTTTATTTGAATATAGTCCTAAAAGTGGGATTACTGGGTCAAATGCAAGTTCCATTTTTAACCTTTTGAGGAAACTCCATACTGTTTTCCACAGTTGCCGCCCCAGTCTGCATCCCCACCAGCAGTGCATGAGGATTCCTTTTTCTCCACATTCTCGCCAGCACTTGTTGTTTGTTGATTTGTTGATGATACCCATTCTGACAGGTGTGAGATGGTACCTCATTATAGTTTTGATTTGCATCTCTCAGTTGAATAGTGACTTTGAGCATGTTTTCATACGTCTCTTGGCCTTCTGTATGTCCTCTTTCAAAAAATTTATTTAGGTTCTTTGCCTAACCAATTTTTTTATTGCATTGCTTATCTTCCTTTTGTTAAATTGTGTGAGTTCCTTGTAAATTTTGGAGATTAAACCCTTTTCTGAGATAGCATTGGCAAATATGGATTCCCATGCAGTGGGCTTGCTTTTTATTTAGTTGATGGTTTCTTTTGATGTGCAATATCAAAGATATTGCTATGACATATGTCTGATATTTTGCTGCCTATGGAGTCTTCTAAGATTTTTATGGTTTCC